CACACACACACACACACACACTGTGGCATATGTGTGCACACCTACATATATAAACAGATAATTTTTCAAAAATAAGTATAATGAATAATGAGCCCATATTCATGGACTAAAATAATTAAGATTGTTTAAATGTCTGTTACCCAAAGTGACCTGTAGACTCTAGGCAAAACAGATGAACATACCTGTGGCAGGCTGCGTTTCTAGTCACACGTGGTGATCCAGTGCTGAGGAAGCAGAGGCAGGAGGATGATGTGCTTCAGGGACAACCTGGTCTAAATAGTGAGTTCCAGGCCAGTCAAGGAAACAGAGCTAAAGTTTCTTTCAAGAAAACCATCTGCCAGGCATGGTGGCTCACGCCTGTAATCCCAGCACTCCCAGCACTCAGGGAGGCAGAGACAGGTGGATCTCAATGAGTTCTAGATCACCTTGGATTACAAATGAGTCCAGGACAGACAGGGCTACACAGAGAAACCCTGTCTCAAAAAACAAACAAACAAGAAAAAAAAAAAAAAGAAGAAAACTATCTTTGCCAAATACAAAGATATTCTTTTTTTCTTTACTTACTAAAACTTTTATCTGTGTGTGCATTCATGCCAAGGTGTGCATGTGGAAGTCAGAAGAAACCGTGTAGTGTCTGTTCTCTTCACCGGTGGATTCCAGAAATCAAACTTTGGCAGTCAGGCGTGGTTGCAGGCCCGTCTGCCGAGCCATCTCATCAGTCCATGTATAGGTGATTATTTAGCACACTCAGTGAGTAGGATGTGAGGGTCTCAAGTGATTTCAGTAAGGTCAGGCAGGCAGGCAGGCACTGGAGTCATTTCTTCATCTGTGTCACTCTCTTCACTTGTTGGTTCCAGTTTCCCATCTGTAAAGTCCCCAGTTTCCCCTGTTCTAATTCTCCTAAGTCCTTTTCTATATTTAAAATATTCATCTGTTTGTGCTTCTTAGGGATTGCATCGTGAGCACAAACTTTCCTCATTCTGGTGTTCGGCAATTTCTTCAGATCAAAATCCCATTCCCGGGAAGTCTGCAGACTACCAGAGTCTAAAATGCCTGGGATCTCCACACCATAGCCGTACTGTTGCCACTCCTGCTCCATTGTTTGCTTGGTGGCAGCCTCCTTCCCTGCCTGTCCCTGGTGCTGTTGTGTAACTCAGTCTGCTCCAGCTCACCGCTGAACCAATTCACATACCTTCCAATTAATTTGCAGGCATCTTTCTTTGAATATTTCTTTTTTTTTTTTTTTTGGTATCCAGATGACTGTGAAACCACTGAAGCTTGTCACCAATAAGGTTGAGATGCAAGGCCCTCTCAATCTTCAATTTTTCCTTTTTGTCTTGTCTGTGAGACTTTCTTGCAATCTGAGCTGCTTTTCTACCATACGAATGGATGACTTTCTTTTCCCGTCCTACAATTTTTCCTTTCATTCCTTTAGGCACAACTATGTCCTGGCCGTGGAGGCCCCACAACTTCAGAAGCAACAATCTCACTGAATGCAGTCTCAGCCGCAGCTGCAGCCGCTCCCAAGTTCATTCCTTTTGAAACACACGTGGGTTCAGGGGGCAGAGACATTCTTTACAGAACTCGAAAAAACAGTTCTGGAATTCACATGGAAGCACAAAGACCCTGAATAGCCAATAGCCATCTTGATCAAAAGAACAGTAATCAAAACAATATTTTATGTACAAAAACCAGATACACGAGGCTGGAATGATGGCTTAGGGGTAAAGGTACTTGCTGGCAAGCCTGAGGGCCTGAGTTCAAACTTAAGGGCCCACATGATAGAAGGAGAAAAGCAACTCCAGAAAGTTGTCCTTGGACTTTCACATTGTGAGGTCTGTGTTGTGATGCCAGGAAAGGAGAGGTTCACAGGATCAGGAGCTTGAAGAGGTTATTAAAGAGCCACAGGCAGAGAGACAGGCTTTATTCACCAGGACAAAAGCCCCTCGTCAGGGCAGCCAACAGCAGTCGCCTGTGCATGTGCCAGGACACATGTAGACTGGTAGGCAAGCCACATGGCTGTAGGCTCGTATACCTACAAACACATGCAAGGCCATATTTATACAAAAATTACACGGAAGTGGCATTTGCCAAAATAGCTATACAACAGCATGCATCATCAGAGAATGGTCTCTGGGTAGCTGGTGTCAGCCATGTTGTGTTGACTCGTAATCCACCATGTTCAGTGTCAGGCATGTTTTAACTGACTCTTATCAGATATCCGTACCCCATGGTGTGTAAACATAAACTGGCCCTTACAGTCTTCTGTTCCCAAGAAGACCTGGGGAACAGAACAAAGTTCTAAATTCAGCTCACACATTTGCAATGTGCGCCAGAAAGAAGAAAGATTAAAGTCACATATTCTCTTTGACAACCACACCAAAGCTTCTATCAACACAAAAACACAGTTCTCACCTCACAGGGAATAAGAGACAGTTTATTCTGGAGACAAATGTGGGTGACCACAGCACAGAATGCAGATTTAGGCTCATCCCAGAATGGCATGTTCTGGTGTGGAAGCAGTTTTGTGACTTTTTTTTTTTTTTTTTTTTTTTTGTAAATATAACAAATAAAAATCAGCCGGGTGATGGCAGTGCATGCCTCTAATCCCAGCACTCTGGAGGCAGAGGCAGGCAGAACTGAGTTTAAGCCCACCATTGTATGTAGAGGGAGTTTCAGGACATCCAGGACTACACAGAGAAACCCTGTCTCAAAACAAAACAAAACAGCCTCCGCTTCAAGAGCAAAACAAATAGAAGTCACAAACCAAGGCACTTATCAAATACATTGGAGGGGTACCTCAGGTAGGCACGTGAAGGCAGATGGAGAGAATTTGCTATTGGTCTTAGATGTTATCTGACAATATTCTTGCCTCTTTGATTGGTGGAAAACTAAGATTTTGTTAATACATTCTACAAGTGTTCTGTTTGTTTGTTTTTAAAATTTCTTGGGATGTTGGGTTCCTCTTTATGTGAGTGTGAAAAGTCTCACAAGGAGGAGGGCAAGGAAAGGCTAAGTCAGCAGGCTAAAGATAGCCCAGGATACCTTGTACTTTGGCTCTTGCTTTGCAGCATTCCATGCTCTCCACGCCACTGAAGTTCCAGCCATCAGCCTTTGTAAACACAGCTTCTTTTCAGAGATTCTCCTTCACATTTTGTAACCTGGATGCAATTATGAAGAACGATTACACGGGCTGGAGAGATGGCTCAGTGTTTAAAGCACTGATTTATCTTCTAGAGGACCTGGATATAGTTCCCAGCACCCAAATGATATCTCACAACCTTCGCTAACTCCAGCTCCGGGGGATACGACACCACTTTCTGGCCTCCCACGGGCACCAGGTGTACACATGGTACACAAGTATGCATGCAGGCAACATAGTCATACATATGTGTGTGTGTGTGTACATGCACGTGGAACATGTATGTGCACTCGGGTGTATAAGGACCGGAACCCATTTGCATGCTCAGAGGCCAGAGATGCCATCAGCCACTCTCCTCGATCACCCTGCCTATGTCATTGAGAAAAGTTTTCTTACTGTGCTAGAGCTAGGCTTTCAGAAAGCAAGTCCCAGCACATTCTCCCCACCAAGATGGGGCTACAGGAGCACTCAGCCAATCCATCTTCTCAAAGGGTGCTGGAAACTGGACCTCAGTTCTGCAGGCCTTGAGTGCTCTTGCCATGAACCATCTTCCCAGCTCCTAACTTCCTTCCTTCCTTCCTTCCTTCCTTCCTTCCTTCCTTCCTTCCTTCCTTCCTTTCTAGATTTATTTACCAGGTGTGGTGATATACACATTTAATCCCAGTATAGGCAGGCAGATTTCTGAGTTCGAGGCCAGCCTACTCTACAGGGCAAGTTCCAGGACAGCCAACACTACATAGAGAAACCCTGTCTCAGAAAAACAACCATATAAGATTTATTTGTTTGTCTACTTAAGTGTTTGTTTATGTGTGTGTGCAGGTGCACATTCCTGTGTTCTTAAATTGATAGGAGAGGTTGTTGGGAGTTTTCCTCTATCACTCTCTGCCAACTTCTTTGGACATGAATATTTAGCATAATAATAGCAGTGCCGAGGCTCCGACTTCCTTAACAATGGATTTGACTAGGTTTAGAGTAACAGGCTTGAAATTTTCCCTGAGGGGCAGATGCCAAATCTAAGAAGACAGTGGTTGGTTGGTTAGCCCCGTAACCGTAACCGTCTTCCTAGCATTCCCGGCGTCACGTCTCGCTGGCGCAGTGTTGCAGCATGTAGGAGCACACTGATGAGGTCCCTGCCACGGCAGCCTCCGTAGTGCTTCATGCACCGTGAAAGCTAGCTAGGAAGGAAGCTCCCGTCTGTTTCAACTTGATTTCTCATGTGCTTCAGCCAAAGTCTTACCATATAGTTGTAGTGGGCAACCAAGGGCACTGGCAATAACTTGCATCATTTGGGGGACTTCTGAGACTTCCTTGATCAATAGCTCATAGAGAGGTTGCCCTGTGCCTGTCCAGCCCTAATTTCTGAATTTTGATGATTGTATTATGGTTATATGTGATTATTATTAGAGGGCAGTTTCCCGGGCCCAGCCATCTCAGGAACAAGTTTCATCTTGCTGGCTGATCAAAACTGAGTTCACATTCCCAGGCCCTGGAACCCAATTCATATCTTGTTTCTTTAGGTATTTTCATGTTCGTTTGTTAACCAGTAAAGCATTTAAAGAAGGAAGTTGCCATTATCCGTTATCTAAGCTGAGGCGGGCAAATTGTAAATGTGTTGTCTGTCTTAACTCAAAGCTTGCTCACTTCTTTGTTCTCTTATCTTCTAAATTCCAGGCCAAAGTCCAAAAGAGAAGGTGACTGCGGGTTCTGAAGCCAGGTGACCTGGAAAGGTCCTGTCACCTTATGTTTAACCCTGTGTGTCAAAGTATGATTGGTCAATACAGAAGCCCACCCCGCTCCTGTTCCTAACCCTTAAAAATGTTGCACAATCTCCCTTCCCGGACTCGGTTCAGATCCTGAACTGGCTGCCTCCCTGCTAGCGCAGAAAATAAAACTTGCATTTTAAGCTTCTGTCTCTGAAGTGAGTTTTCTAGGCTTCCACCCCGAACCCAACATTTTGATGCATGAACTGCGAAGCCAAGAGCTCACGTCTGTTTTGGGGTGCCCCATCGGTAAGTCTGAACCTCTTGTGAGGTACCAATTTGGTACCGGTGCTCAAACTTGTAATTTGTAACCTGTTTTGGGGATGCCCTTTATGTGTTTTGAGAATTTGTTCAGTAGTAACGTTTTGAGACCTAAAAGAGGAGAGCTGGATGCAGCACATCTCCTAAGGTCGGAGGAGGTCCGGAGACGTCTGAGCCCTCTCTGGTTCCCCTTGGGGAACGTTTGGAATCTGTCTGTTCGGGGAACATTTGGAATTGGTTCAACCGTATGTTGTCGAAGTCTTGCGACTGTCCTTTTGTCTTGCTCATCTGACCATCTGCCTGCTCTACTGTCAAATTTTCTTTCTATCTTTATATTGTCAAATTGTTTTGTTGCCAAATTTTGTTTCTGTCTTTACTTCATCAGCTTGTTGTTGGAATTTCGGGACTTTGTCTATCCTGGAAAACTCATTATGTCCTGCTACTTTAAATCCAAGGGCTCATTTAACTTGTCTGATTAATTTGCTGTCTGAAATATTATCTTCGGATCGCCTGGGGATCCAGTCCAGGCCCCGTACGCTGTTGTCTGGATTTTCCTGGTCTTCTCACGGGCTCAGTTGTGGGACATCCGGTTCTGTCTTTGGGCATGCTGGTCTGTTCATGTCTGTCAGTTTATGCCCATAGTTTCGTTTAGTTTGATTGTTGCTCTGTGTTTTATATTCAGAAAATGTGCCAAAGTTAATCTGCTGGCCGTCCAGCCCTTGCCTTAGTCTTAAACCATCTCAGAGAGTTTTCAAAAGAAGAAACCTGGCTGAATCGAGACTACAAAGCTGATGAGCTGGCTCTGCTCTTGGAGCCCTGCACGCACCAGCAGCTAGGAGTCCGGCAGCCTTGCAAGAAACCTTACCTCTTGCTTGGATGAATTGGATTCAGCAAGTAGAAAGGTGTTCCTCCCTTGAAATTACAGCTAGGAAGTAAGGAAAATTTTGTTTGTCTGTTTTGAACACATAAATCTATGTGTGACCACTGCATGTTTATTTCTGGCTGGTCTTAGATGTATAAATTTCCTATGCTCTGTATGTTTTGGTTATAGATTATTGGTTACTGGGTATGTAAAAATCTGGGACATCTGAAACAACAAGCTAGCTTAGAACAAGTAACTCAGGGTTGGAGCCACTCTGGGCAACAACACATGGCATGAGAGGACCAAGGACACAGGTCTCTAAAGATGCTTTAAATTGTCCTATCTTAAAACCCAGACATATAAAAAGAGAGGACTTAAAGCAGTGTTTCTTGAATGAGGTATTAAAGCTGCACCACCATGTTTTTGTATACAAGAACTTTTCTTTCTGGTAACCAAACTTTGTAACATGAAAATAACCTACTTGGTATTGATTTTTGAAACACTAAATTGAAATTGTTTATAGTGTTAGAACTTGGTTTTGCCTTCTGAAAATTACGGTCATGTTGTACATCTTTACTCGTAGAAAGGTACTTTATTTTAATATTACAAAAATACAATTGAGGGGCTTTAAATTTTAGAGGTGTAGAATATTAAAAAAGTTAAGAATCAATGGCTTAAAAACATCTCTTTCTGCCTAAGGTCTATTCAGGCTAACAGAGACTAATTTAAGAATATGTGTCTAACCTTGCTTTTGGCAGCATTATTAAACTAAAGCTTATATTATAAACTGGGTCATACAGAAAACTTTGTTTTTTAATGTTATAGTGTGGAAGGATCAAGAGAATTCCCAGTCTCTAGATTTAAAAGTCTTATTTGGATACTGAAAAAGCTTTTATTCAGAAGTTGTTATTTTATTATAAACTGTTAAGGATACTTAGAATATAAGTTAATAATCAGTTACCTTATATGTTCAGAACTACATTTATAGTCATGCTAAGTATGTTTTATGTTTTCAAGGTACAATTTAGTGCAGATAACTAAAAACAGAGATTGTTTAACTCAGATATGCTTGATTGGTTCTGGCCCTCAAGCCTGTCAGAGACCTGTTGAATATGGCATTTAAGAATGTTTAAACATATTATGACAGAGACTGCCAAATCCTAACAGTGACCCTGCCAAGGTCACCAAGAAGATACGAGCACAATGACAAAGGACTCCACCTGGACTGTGGAGACTTCCCCTATGCTTCTCCAGCTGTTAGGGCCCAGCCTGAGCTGTGAACAAACAGGACACTGGGAGAGTGTCCCACATTGCGGAAGACAAGGTGAAGTCAGTCTCTCCCATGTTCCTTTTCCACAAAAAATGTCTCTCATCTTCTGGGCCTGATGGCTTCCGCCTGTGATAACATTGAGACCACAGGAGCCTGGGACAACTGTTTAGGTAGTGGATGATGGACTAGTCTCTGCCATTTTAACTACTATAGACCATTTAGATTATTTTTCCTTCTCAAGTCTCTGACTACATTGATGGCTAAGCTGACTGTAGCTTGACAGCTAGGCAACAGCAGGCAACTAGCTCCTTACCTCGAGGTAGACTTCCACCATGTTAGTGCATTTGTCAATCCATTAGTTACTTTAAATTGCTAGTCCTATTATTTAAAAAGGCAAAAAGGTTTGCCTTGTTCACAGGCTTCATGTTAAAAGACACATAGATTGCAATGTAACTTTTTGCTGTTCTTTTATTTAAATAACCGCTCCTAATAATCAACCAATTATGTCTCGAAATGAATAACCGGGTAGAAAAAGTTTAAAGTTTATATAAGTTCTGAGGATATGACAGTTTAAGTTATGAGGGTCTAAGAATGCGTTTGAAGGTTGGTAAGTGCAAGTTATGATGGTTGGAAGATCTAAAAATGTGTTTTTAGGTTGGTAAAGGCAGATTATGAAGGTTGGGGGCCTAAGAAGGTGTTTTAAGGTATGTAAAGTTGTAGAGCTATAAGAAAGTGATTTAAGGCATATGAAAATGAGAAATGTTTCAGGATTCTCTCCCCCCTCTATTCTATTGTTTTTTTTTTCCATTTTTATTTATTACTTTTTATTATTAGTTACATTTTATTAACTTTGTATCCTAGCTGTATCCTGCTCCCTCCTTCCCTCCCATATGCTATTGTTATACTTATGTTATTATAAGATTTCAAAAGTTTAGAATTAACATTGATCAGTGGAGTTCTGATAAGCTGATGGAGCACTGGCTGCTTTCTATTTAGTCACAAGTTCAAGATTTTAAATTCTTTTTGGTTGTCTTCTGAATATAGACTAAAAGTGCTTCTCACTGTGCTGAAAATATGTCTGACAAATCTGTATATGTAGCCCTCTGGGCTGAAAAAAAAAAAGAATGTTCATTTTTTTTTAATCCAAAGTTATGGCTTTTTCTAGGTCTCAATGGCATGAGTCTACTCCAGCTGTCTGACAGACACCTGTTAACTGCTTTTTCTAACATACTTCCTTTTGTAAACTAAAATTCATATAAGGTTCCAGGAATGAAAAAAAGTGGTAAGACTTGGATCCACCTGCCACAGATTGAACATGTACACCTGCCTGTTCTTGAAAATGGAATTTTCCCCTGGGTCTTGGGATTCCTCATTGTCCCCAAATACTAGACAATTTTAATTTCTGTCCCTAGTCTATATTTGTCTCAGCAGATTTTTACCTGGCTGACAAACTTCATTCAGGTTATCACCTGTCAACTGCAAGCCGATATCCACATCCTAATGTCAGATTAATTGAGATATTAATTAATTAATTAATTAATATCTCAATTAATCTGACATTCAATACATTAGATGTATTGAAGAGAATATGTCATCCATTGTTTTACCTAACAGGCTGAAATGCCAAGTCAAAAAGAAATTCTCTGGCATAAGGGACAAATGGTTACCTATAATGCCACCTGACATACCAGATCATAACATTAATCAATGGAGTTCTGATAAACTGATGGAGAACTGGTCCTTGGTTCTGTTTCTCCTGGTCATGCTTTGTGCTCCTTGCATGATAAACTTTAATTCAAGTTTTTGTCCAAGGCCATATTAATGCTATTAAACTCATGGCTTTGAAGGCACAATACTACCCCTTGTATACTGGAGAGAAGTCATAATATTTGATTTTGGTACATAACGACAGGGGGAAATGTTAGGAGGCAGTTTCCTGGATTCAGCCATCTCAGGAACAAGTTCCTCTTGATGGCAGGGTCAAAATTGAATTTATATCCCCAGACCCCAGAACCTTTCTCTTGTCCTGCTTCTTCAGGTGTTTTCACATTTGTCTGTTAATCAGTAAGGATGTAAAGAGGGAAGTTGCCATTCTTTATCTATACTAAGGCACACAAGTTGTAAATGCACTGCCTGTCTTGACTTAAAGCTTGCTCACTCCTTTGTTTCCTTATCACTCTAAATTCCAGGCCTAAGTTCAAAAGAGGACATGACTGCAAAGAGCTGAGTCAAAGGATCTGAAACCAGGTGACCTGGAAAGGCCCAGTCACCCCTTGCTTAACCCTTTGTGTCAAAATATGATTGGTCAATGCAACAGCCCACCCTGCTTCTGTTCCCATCCTTTACAAATGTTATACAATCTCCCTTTAAGGACTTGGCTCAGAAAAAAAAAAAAAAGACCAACATAGTATTGCAGTTCTGACCACTGTTGTCCTCAGTAAAATTAAATTCATCTACCCCAAATTACATAGGCATCAAAAATTTCCATTTGTAAAAAATACTTTAAAAATTTCACCCAAACACAAAAGAATATACCTTCTCAGTACAACATGGAAACTTCTCCAAAATTAACCATATATTCAGTAACAAAGCAAACTACAACTAATATAACAAAATTGAATTAATCCATTTTAATTTATCAGATTACCATGGATTAAAGCTGGACTTTAACAACAACAAAAATATAAAAAGCTCTTGGAAACTGAACAACTCCATACTCAGTGACCACTGGCCAAGAGAAGAAATAAAGAAAGAAATTAAAGACTTCCTAAAATTTAATGAAAACGAAGGCACAGCATACCCAAACTTATGGGACACAATGAAAGCAGTGCTAAGAGGAAAGTTTATAGAACTATGTGCATTCATAAAGAAATTAGAGAGATGTCATACTAGCAACTTAACAGCTTAGCTCAAAGCTTTAGAAAAAAAAAGAAACAAATAAAAATACACAAAAGGAGTAGGCAGCAGGCAATAACCAAACTCAGGGCTGAGATCACTAAATTAGGAACAAAGAAGATAAGACAAAACAAAACAAAACAAAACAAAACAAAACAAAACAAAACAAAACAAAAACCAAAAAAACATCAAAACCAAGAGCTGGTTCTTTGAGAAAATCAACAGGATCGACAAACCTTTAGCCAAACTAACTAAAAGGCAGTGAGACAATATCTAGATCCACCAAATCAGAGATGAAAGGGACATAACATCAGACACCCAGGAAATCCAAACAAGCATTAGGTCTTACTTCAAAAGCCTATATGCCACAAAATTGGAAAACCTAAATGACATGGACAATTTTCTTGATAGACTTCACTTACAGAAGTTAATCAAGATCAAGTACACAAGATAAACAATCTTATAAAATCTATTGAAACAGAAACAGTCATTAAATTCTCCCAACCAAAAATGGGCTACTAACAGATCATTTCGGTTCAGAATTCTACCAGACTTTGCAAGAAGAGCTAATACCAATACTCCTCAAACTATTTCACAAACTAGAAACAGAAGGAACATTGCCAAACTCATTCTATGAAGCCACAGTCACCCTGATACCTAAAACACAAAGACCCAACAATGAAAGAGAAGTTCAGACCAATCTCTCTTATGAACATTGATGCAAAAATACACAATAAAATACTTGCAAATAGAATTCTGGAACACATCAAAAATACCATCTAACATAATCAAGTAGGATTCATCCTGGACAGGGGTGGTTCAATATACAAAACCCATTAATGTAATCCACCATATAAATAAAATGAAAGAAAAAAAATGAGTATCTCCTTAGGTGCCAAAAAATCATTTGATAAAATCCAACACCTGTTTACCATAAAAGTCTTAGAAAGATCCAGGGTACAAGGCACAGACTTGAACACAATAGAGACAATATACAGCAAGCCTATAACCAAGATCAAATTAAATGGAGAGAAACTTAAAGCAATCCCACTGAAATCAGGGACAAGACAAGGCTGCCCACTCTAACCATATCACTTCAATATAGTACTTGAATTCCTAGCCAGAGCAATAATACAACTAAATAAAATCAAGTGATACAAATTGGAAATGAAGAAGTCAAAGGATTGCTATTCATAGATGATATGATAGCTTACATAAGTGACCCCAAAAATTCCACCAGAGAACTCCTACAGCTGATAAACATGTTCAGAAAGTGGCTGGATACAAAATTAATTCAAAATATTTAATAGCCCTCCTGTAAACAAACAACAAAGATATTGAGAAAGAAATTAGGGAAACCATACCCTTCACAATAACCACAAATCATATAAAGTATCTTGGTGTAACTCTAACCAAATAAGTCAAAAGACCTGTATGACAATAACTTCCAGTTTCTGAAAAAGAAAACTGAAGAAGATATCAGAAAATGGAAAGAGGCCTCATGCTCATAGATCAGCAGGATTAACATAGCAACAATGGCCATCACACCAAAAGCAATTTACAGGTTCAATGTAGTTCCCATCAAAATACCAGCGCTTTTTGTTGTTGTTGTTTTGTTTTTGTTCTTTCAAGACAGGATTTCTCTGTGTAGTCTTGGTTATCCTGGACTCAATTTGTAGACAAGGCTGGCTTTGAACTCATGCAGCTACTCCTGCCTATGCCTCTGCCTCCCTGAGTGCTGGGATCACAGGAGTGCAGCATAGCACCCCGCTACCAACACAATTCTTTACAGACCTTGAAAGAACCAGTCTAAATTTCATATGAAAACCAAAACCAAAACCAGAATAGCTAAAACAGTCTTATATAATAAAAGATCTTTTTGAGGTATCTCCATCCCTGATTTTAAGCCATATAACAGAGCAATAGTAGTAAAAACTGCATGGTACTGTCATAGAAACAGATCAGTTGATCTTGCTTTTTTTTTTTTTTTTTTTTTTTTTTTTTACAAAAAAAGCCAAAACCATACAACAGAAAAAAGAAATCATCTTCATGAAATTGTGCTGGTCTAACTGGATGTCAAAATGTACAAAAATTCAAATAGATGCATATCTATCACCTTCACAAGACTCAAATTCAAGTGGATCAAAGACCCCAAGGTAATACCAGAAACACTAAATCTATTAGAAGAGAAAGTGGGGAAGAGCCTTGAACTCATTGGCACGGGAGACAGCTTCCTGAACAGAACAACAGCTCGTGCTCTAAGGTCAACAATTAATACATGGAACTTCATCAAATTGAAAAGTTTCTCTAAGACAAAGGACACTGTCAAAATGTCAGCTTACTGATTAGGAAAATATCTTCACCAACCCCACACCTGACAAAGAGCTAATATCATATGTGTGTGTGTATACATACATACATCCATACATACACACACACATATATATAAAACTCAAGATATTAAACACCAACCCTACCAATAATCCAATTGAAAATGGGGTACAGAGCTAAATATAGAATTCTCCACTAAAGAATTTTGAATGGCTGAGAAGCACTTAAAGAAATGCTCAATACCCTTAAGTCATCAGAGAAACGCAAATCAGAATGACTGTGAGAGTCTATTTTACACTCATCAGAATGGCTACGATCAAAAACACAAATGACAAGCACATGCTGTCAAGGAAGTGGAGAACAGGGAACACGCCTCCATTTTTGGTGGGAGTGAAAATGTGTACAACCACCCTGGAAATCAATCTGACACTATCCCAGAAAATTGGGAATAACTCTTCCTCAAGACCCAGCTATACCACTCCTGGGCATATACCCAAAAAATGCTCAATATACAACAAGTACACTTGCTCAGCTACATTCATAGCACCTTTATTCATAATAGTCAGAATCTGGAAACAATCTAGATGCCCCTCAACTGAAGAATGTATAAAGTAATTGTGGTACATTTACACAATGGAATGCTATTAAAGGCAAAGACATCATGAATTTGCAGGCAAATGGATGGAACTAGAAAATATCATTCAGAGCGAGGTATCCAAGACCCACAAAGACACACATAGTATGTATTGTACATATAATATAGGATAAACATTAAAATTTATAGTCCTAAAGAAGCTAAACAACAAGAACCCAAGAGAGGATCTTAACTCCAAACTAGAAGTAGAAATAGAATAGACAGAGGAAGTGGTTGAAGAGAGGGAGCAGGGTAAGAGAAGGAGCATGCAGAGAAATGAGGGTGGAAATCAGAGTTAGGCAGAGCAGACACAGGAAGACAGGGCTTGAAGGGAGAAACCTTGGTCGAGGCTTCTTTGTGAAGCTGGAGACCTATGACAGGGTTGGCTGCTATGAGGATATGAGGGTCACTCTAGCTGAGATTCCTGGTAACAGGGGTCAGGAAGACCGAAGAGGCTACCCTCTAAGTAGACAGGACTCCTGATGGGGGGGCAACAACACACCCACGAAAAATTCCACCTATAATTTATCTTGCCTACAAGATGTGCAAGGACAAAAATAGAGCAGAGATTGTGGGAATGTCCAACAAACGACCGGCTCACCCTGCGGCTCCCCACATGGGAGACAGCCAGCTCATGACAGGATTAACAATATTCTCTATGCTTACAGATGGGAGCCTAGCATAGCTGTCCTCTGAGTTGCTCCATCCAGCAGCTGATGGAAACAGATGCACAGACCCACAGCCGATCATTGGTTGAAGCATAGGGATCCTTGTGGAAAAGTATGTGTGTGTGTATGGGGAGTAGAAGGATCCAGAGGGGACAGGAGCTCCACAAGAAGACCATTAGAGCCAACTAACTAGAGCCCAAAGGCTCCTGTGGTGACCATGCATGGGCTGGACCTTGGCCTCCTACACAGATGCAGCTGATGGGCAGCTGGGTCCTCTAGTAAGCTGGATGGAGGCTGACTGTGACAGCCTGTTGTGACTCTGTTGCTTGCCTTTAGGTCACTTTCACCTGGAAGAGCTACCTTGCTAGGCCACAGGGGAAGAGGATACACTCAGTCCTGATGCAATTTGATATGCTGCAGTGTGTGGATAGGTGGGGGCTCCCCTTCTCTGAGGTGTAGGAGAGGGGGAGAGGGAAAACAGGGAGGAGTTGTGAGATTGGGAGGAGACAAGAGGACTATGACCGGATGTAAAATAAATAAATAAATAAATAAATAAAATAATAATAATGAAAAAAAAAAAAGAATGTGGAAGAAAGGATAATAGGCCCCAGACAGTATAGGCTGGGATGATTGCAGAGAACAGGGAAAAGGCAGTGGTTGAGGAAACCAAAACAGTAGAAAGGAAAATGCCTTCAGGAAGTTGCTACTTTGCAAGCTAATAAAACATAGAAATAAAGTGAGACCATACAAAATAACAATGAATACAAAGCAAAGGAAGAAATGGCTAAAATCACCAACTTTGGGCATGGTTGTGGATGAACCACAAATCTGATGTTCTGGCAATGTTTGCGTCATTGCAAATGTTGGAAAACAAATCACATCTGCTTAAATGGGGAAAACATTACCCTACTCACCAATGATCACACTCTTTTTTTTCCTTCAACATTCCATTCAGTATTTAATTATTCTGAAAAGTACATTGTATAATTACAATTTAATTTGTGTTGCACAATGTAAGATATTTTATGAGCTGTAGTTCTCTCTTTAATTTTCAAATTAAAATATAATTACATCATTGACCCCTTCTTTGCTTCAGCTATTTCAAGTTCTCACACAAACACTCCCTGTCAAATTCATGACCTCTGCCTGATTTCTTTTAATTGCTGTTACATATACAGACATATGTAAGTACATGATTTTAGGGTTTACCACTAGGGACTGGATAACAAATTAGGGGGTCTTTCCTGGGGAAGCCACTTTTCTCCTGCTTTCAGTAGTTCTTTGAACCCTGTAGCTCTCATTATAACAGCAAGGAAAATTCTCTTTGCAAACAAACAACAAAAACAAAGGATCATTACCAAAAGCAAACAAACAAACAAACAAACAAACAAAACAACAACAACAACACCTCACAACTGATGAAAATCTAGAAAGCAAGTGAATGTTTTGTGCCAGTCCATAGTTGATCCATGTACAATCCAATTTTTGCACTCCAAGGCCAGGAACATTTGGTGGATATGGAAGGAAGATTGTAAGAGCCGGAGGAATAGATATCTGCATGCCCTAGAAATGTCAGGGAGGCTACACCCGTGAAGTCTCGACGTGCCTGCCTAAACAAATCTGAACAAGCTTGCATGGGATGGGGAGAGCTCATTGGGCCCCATTAACCCTGGATTTAAGAACAACCAGGAACATGTTTACTTTTTACATGATCCATGAACAACCATGGGAGTACTGACCTGCAGTCCATGCACAGAGGCCAAGTGGCATCCCATGATCAATTAATTGATACTTACAAAATAAAATTTTACATGTCATCTGGTCTAGGGAGATTTTCTGTCAGTGCAGGCAATGGATGGAGCTAGAAAAGAGCATCCTGAGTGAGGTGACCCATATCCAGAAAAACACATTATATGCACTCACTTGTCCGTGGACTTTAGCCATATACGGGATAGACATAGTACAATCCAAGACTCAAAGAAGATAACTAACAAGGAGGACCCAAAGAATGATGCTTGACTTACTCTGAAAGGGAAATAACATAGACAGCGGTAATGGCCGAAGAGAGGATACAAAGCAGGAGCTTAGCATAGCTGTCTTTGGAGAGGCTCTACCCAGCAGCGGATTGAAACAGATGCTGAAACTCACATCCAAACATTGGTTGCAGCATAAGAAATCTTGTGGAAAACTTGGGGGGGGGGAGATAGAAGAACCTGCAGGGGACAAGAACTCCATAAGAAGACCATCAGAGCCAAGTAACCAGGGCCCAGAGGTGCTTGTGGAGACTGAAGCACCAACCAAGGATCATATATGGTCTGGACCTAGTCCCCCTACACAGATGTAGCAGACGGGCAACTCAGACCTCTTGTGGCTTCCCTAGTAACAGGAGCAGGAGCTGTCTCTGGCATGGACTCTGTTGCACACTTCCTAATTACTACCCCCTCGCGGCCCTGCTTACCAGGCCACAGGGGAAGAGGATGCTCTCAGTCCTAATGCTACTTAATGAGCTAAGGTAGGTGGTTAGCAGGGTTCTCCTGTTATCTGAGGAACAGGGTGGGAGATGGTGGAAGAGGAAGCGAAGGTGGGACTGGGAGGAGAGAAGAGAGGTGGCTAAGATCAGAATGTAAAGTGAGTAAATAACTAAGTTAATTAAAATCTAAAAAATAATTTTGGGTGACTAGTGAAGGCAGCCAGTCTTGCCTGTAAGAGTCTGGGTCATAACTCTGGGTAGACCATTGGTCTACTGGACAATTGTGGCTGCTGAGTGTACTGTTTCCAGACTCTAGTTTTCATGACATCGGGAATCCGCTCTCTCTGCTCAAACCTAGCCCCTGAAAATCTTCAGCTAACTATAGATTTTTGAGCTTGCTTTGTCATTGCTGATGAGCCCTGCCTGCTATTGATGCAGCAGAGATGAAGATCACAGCCTGCACTTGGCTATAGCTAGTGGGAAATCAGCATGGGCTACATTAGATGATCTGTACCACTGACTCACACTCTCTGTAATTTCTCTGTCTCTTTCTCTCTTTCACGAATATATGTGCACACTTCTCATTGGTGTATAACATGGCTACTGTTCTATGTGCTAATTTATAAAGACTTTGCTGAAGGTAAACATTGTTAACAGGTTTTTGGTGGTTTCTTTTGGGGAAGTCTCTTACGTATAGATTATTATTCACATTACCTACAGCTAGGGGTACTGTGACTTCCCATTTACACTCCTTTATTTCATTCTCTTGTCTGCGTTCATTATCTTACTACTTTTACTCCAGTAGCAATGCTTTGAGTTTTTTCCCCATTTAGTATTGTCCTGGCTTTGTGTTTGTCATATGTATCCTTTATGTTGAGTTACAATCCTTTTGTCCCTACCTCTGCTGACTTTTATGATGAAGAGATCCTGAGTTTTATCTAAGGCTTTGTTTAAGGATATTAGTATATGGTTTTTGTATGAGTTTATCCATGTCATGAATTACATTTATTGGTGAATAAATGTTGAACCATCTCTGCATCTCTTGGATGATATCAGCACTATCATGGAGAATGTTTTGTAAAATGAAAATCTTTTAATAAAGTAAACATAAAAGTGTCACATGGGTAGGTTAAAGTAGACATGCAAACAAACCCTTGGCCCCTCTCAAATTCAATACATCTCAGTGAGGTTCTGAGCAGTTACACTCTCCATTCTAAAGACATGGAGCTTTGTTTAGACTTTTATAATTTCATTTTATGCCTTTATACATCACAAAGCAAAATATAAAAAAGACAGCTTTGAAAGTAAGAAACACTTATCTTCCCATGCAGTTTCATGTCACAATTGTCCTGATGCCAGAATTTTGTCCTTCCTCACTGTCTAACTTCACTTACATTCACATATTTCTTTTTTTACATGCATACACATTTACACATTATAGACTAGGATCTGAATATGAGGTTGAAGGTTCAAGGGTTGTCTGTTTATTTCTGAAATTGAGTGACCATACTTAATACAATACATTTCAAGAACACTGCAGACATTATTATTTCATTTTAACTGAAGCTGAATAGCATTCCAATCTATGTGATCCCAATACGAATTATTTACTCATCTGTTAATGTATGTCTGTGTGCCATTTTCTTGCTATTGTGAACAAAGCAGCAATAAAAACAAATTTGCAAATATTTTTATGGTAGGATATGGAGCTCTCTGGGTATGTGTCCAGGAACTGAACAGTTGATTCATATGGTAATTCTAGTCTCAATTTTTCTAGGAACTTCAACATAGATTTCCATAGTGGGTGTATTTTTTTGCGCCCTCACCAACAGTGAATAAGGCCTCCTCTTTCCCCACATCATCCCCAACATTTCTTATCAAATATTTTGTTTAGGGGAGAAGTAATATTGCAAAGCAACTTTAATTTTCAATTTCATGATAAGGGAAATGTGTTGCACACATTTTACAATAGTTTCTGGCTCTTGTTATATCTTCTTTGAAAAACCACTTAATTCATTAGCATGTCATGTAGTTTATTCAGTGTTTTATAAATTCTCAATATTAGCTCTTTGTACAAAGAATAGCTGATTTTCTCACTCTCTGTGGGCTGTCTGTATACTCTGCTGATAACGTATCATGCAGTGCAGACATTTTTTAACCTTATGCAGTGCCATCTGTTGATATCTTGGTCTATTTCTGCATCTGCGTTGTTGTAGTTTGTTCAGAAAGTTACAGTCTACCACAGTGTCTTAAAAAGTGTTTCTTATATTTTCATCTAGTAGTTTCAGTTTTTAAATATTTTTATTTATTTAATTTTTTAAAGATTTTATTTATTTTATGTATATGTGTGTCTATGTGCACATACACCTGCATGCCAGAAGAGGGCATCAGATTCTAGTGTAGATGGTTGTGAGTCACCATGTGCTTGTTGGAAATGGAGCTCAGGACCTCTGGAAGAGCAGACAGTGCTCTTGACTGCTGAGCCATCTCTTCCGCCCTTATTTTACTTTGTTGAGATAAAGATTCTCACTATTTTTGTTATATCGCCAACATTAACCAGTTCCCCCTGAAAACATCAGGCCACTTCAACCAGGTGAACAGGTTGGCTAACTGTAGATCTTCAACTCTCCAAATCTAATTTCCCAGACTCATCCTTGCCTTTGCATCAAAACACCTGCTGAGTGTCCCCTGATCTCAATATCCAGTAGATCACACAGATAATCTCTACCTAACATCCATCCAAACACCCATCTCTCCATTCCAGCCTGCAAATCCAACTGGAACTCCCTGGGAACACACAGACCACTTCAGCCAGGGAAGTAAGTAAGCCAAAAGCTGATCTTCACCTGGACTTCCCCTCGCTCAGTAAAATTTCTCTGTCTCATACACAGGTCTGAAGAAACCCACTTGTTACTGCTCCTACTCACTCTAGGGCTTCATTCCCAGGGGATAAAGCAGCCTCCGGTGGGACACGCTGATTTCCTCATCATGTGACCCTCTTAGACCCTCCTCCCCCTTAGCCCATCCTTATTCCTAAGTGTCAGATCCCAATGACTAGAAACTTGTGTTACATGGAACCCCCCATGGCCACAATTATCCACATCCCAGATGAGTTTTCTACAAGACAACACACAGCAACCATAGTCTTCTAAGAATCAGAAAGGCAATAGAAACCAAGAAACAGAATTACCACCCAAACCCAACAAGACAAGATTTCAACACCTAGAATTATAACTTTCCTAAACCCAGATATCTGATTCAAGCACAAAAATGCAATCAATAACATCCAGGTATAACCTAGAACCTCTGTTCGGATGTAGCCCACGGTAGCTCAGTATCCAAGTGGGTGTCCTAGTAAGGGGAGCAGGGACTATTTCTGACATGAACTCAATGGCAGGCTCTTTGACCTCCCCCACCCCAAAGGAGGAGCAGCCCTACTAGGCCACAGAGGAGGACCTTGCAGCCAGTCCCAAAGATACCTGATAAGCCAGGTCAGATGGAAGGGGAGGAGGTTCTCCCCTATCAGTGGACTTGGAAAGGGGCAGGGAAGAGATGAGGGAGGAAGGGTGGGATTGAGAGGGAATGAGGGAGCAGGATACAGCTGGGATACAAAGTTAATAAATTGTAACTAATATTAAAAAATAAAAAAGAAATACATACATAAATCTAAAATAAAAAAATAATATCCAGGGCAATATGTTTACACTAAAAAACTATATACCACATAAACCACATAAAAGCAGGCCCTGGACATTCTAGCATAGCTAAAGCACAAGAAAAACAAAAGAGTTGAAAATGGTCTTCATTAATATGACGTAAGTCCTTAAAGAAAATAAAGAAATGACTTAAAAATCTATGTAAACACAAACAAGAAGTAGAAGACAATAAATAAAACTGTTCATGACAAAAAATAGAAATAGAATCAATAAGATAAACTAAAATGAGGAAAATCTGGATATTAAAAATTAAGGAACTCAAACAGAAATATCAGAGGCGATGTCATCAACAGAGTATTATATATAGAAAAAAATCTCAGGGATTGAAGACATGATAGAAGAAATGAATACATAAGTCACAGAACATGTTAAATCTAAAAATGTCCTTGTACAAAAACATCCAGAATATCTGGGAGACTGTGTAGGGAGAGAATTTAAAAATAATAGAAGCAGAGGAAGGACAAGAAACCTTAGTCATAAACAAAAAAAATATTTTAGTAATATCATAGAAGAAAATTTCCTTAATCTAACAAAGGAGATACCTATGATGGTATAAAAAAATACAGAAAAAGAGAGAGACTGGACCAGAAAATAAAGTTCTCTGGAAGCATGATATTTAAAACACAAAACGTACAGAACAAAGAAGGAATATTGAAAGCAGGAAGGAAAAAAGATCAAGTAACATATAAAGACAGACCTATTCAAATAACACTAGACTTCTCAAAGTGGACAATAAAAGCCAATAAATGTGTTGCAGACACAAAGGGAACACAGATGCTAGTCCAGACTACTATATCCAGGAAAAAAAAAGGGGGGGGGGCAATCACAAGAGATGGAGAAAACAAGGCATTACACGTAATGCCAAATTTAAGCACTATCTATCTACAAATCCATCTCTACAGAAGTGCTGGAAGGTAAACTCTGTTCTAAAGGATAATCACAGCCAAGAAGACAAAAGAATACATAATCCCAGACAAGAAAAATCGAAAGAGGAGAAACACTCACACAACCACAATACTGTTCTTTGCTAACTCTCAACAGCAAAGGTATCAATTCCCCAACATAAAGTCACACTCAAAGAGAATGGATATGAGAGTAGGATCCGTCTTTCTACTATGCTCAAGAAACACATCATAACTTCAAGAGTAGATATCTTCTTAGGGTAAAAGGATGGAAAAAGATATTTCAGGAAAATGGGCCTAAGAGGCAAGCTATTGTAGCCATTGTAAAATCTGACAAAATAGACTCCAAACCAAAACAAATTAGACAAGCTACAGAAGGATACTACATGTTCATCAAAAGAAAAAACCCACCAAGAGGAAACTGCAGTTCCTTATATCTGTTCACCAAACACAAGGGCACCCACATTTATAAAAGAAATACTACTACAGTTTAATTATACGTTGACCCTCATACATTGGTAGGATACCAAATGGTATCCTACGCTTGCCAAAACACAGATTATCCAGATGAAGAAGAGAAATTCTGGCATTAACTGATATTATAAATCAAACAGATCTAACAAATATTTTCAGAACCTTTCAGTCACAGACAAAATATACCTTCTTCTCAGCACCTCATGAAACTTTCTCCAAAAATGATCACAAAGCAACTTCAAAACAACAAAAATGGAACTAACCCCTGCCTCCTATCTGACAACCATAGATTAAAGCTGAGTATCCACAACAATGTAAACAACAGAAAGCTTACAAAGTTATGTAAACCAAACAATTCACTACTGAATGAAAAATTAGTAAGAAATTACAAAACTCTGAAGACAGAAATTAGAAAGAAATTAAAGACGTTCAAGAATTGAATGAAATTTAAAACACATTATACTCAAATATATGGGACATAATGAAAGCAGTTTTAAGATACACGTTCATAGCACTAAATATCTTCATAAAAATGTAATTGGAGAAGTCTCATACTATCAACTTAAAATACACTTGGAAGCTCTAGAAAAAATGAAGAATCACAACTTAGAGTAGCAGACAGGAAGAAATAATAAAACTAAGGCTGAAAACAATTAAATAGAAAGAATAAAAACCAATATAAGTAATCAATGAAATAAAGAGTTGGTTCCTTAAAAATATCAATGAAATTACCAAACCCTTATCTAGGGAACAAAGGCAGAGAATGGTACAAAGAAAATTACACAGACATGAAAACAAGCTGAGGATATTTCCTCAGATCAGGATGAAATGTCTGTCTTCTGTGTCTACAGAAGACAGTGAATTGTAGATCCTCGGGATTCCGAAAGAGGTGGGTTTGATATGTGTCATTTACAATTGTATTATAGAAGTAGGTATACTA